CGTATCATGAAGGTTATCCGATAACAGACCCGTTGAAGTAAGTAAACCATGTCAGCTGTGGTACATACGTGTATTTACAAACTCCGCCAAGTAAGTTTATGACCGACTGAAACTTGTAACCGATGTCAAGAATGTGAATTCTCAAAGCTGCAAATGGTCAAGGCTCTCCCTTTTCTGAAATGTCGAAACTTTGGCGACTCTCAACACGAGCTCTCTTCCAAGCGGTCGACGCTATCTTGGCAACTTGCCTGCGTTGCACGTCAACTAGACATTCGGCTAGGATGCATCTAAAATAGGTAAATTCATCGATAATTTTTGTCCACCCGCATTGTTTAGCCATTTCGCGAGCTTCAGGGATAGTGGGTATTTGGAAGTCAAGCAACAGTTTCCCACAATAGTATATCGAGGCCATTTTTCTTGGTTTATCTTTCACTGTCTTCTCCGTAACGCGTAACGTCGAATCGTGCAAGTGCGATACATCCATTTCGTTAAGAAGGTACTTGTATTCAGGAGTAAGGTAATTCGGCTTCATCGTCTTTATCTTGTGAGAAGGTTGTATGCTTGAACGAATTCATTTTATACTTTTGGAAATTTCACATAGTAGCAAATATCAATCTTATCGCTTACATAATGACAGTTTAAGTTGTACGACTGCATATGACCCTAATCTGTTATTTTTGTCAATTGTACTAAAATTGTTTTGGGCAAAATTGATTGTTCTCAATATGGAAGACGCAACGCAATATATTGGGCACATTCTATATGCATTGCACATATTTGGACGTACAACCCCGAACCATCGCCCCAAGTAGACAAAAAATCTAATGCATTAAGCATGAATGTAAGGCTGTTATGCATTGCAATGGGATTGGGTGATATCTCACAATGGATTGTCAACATACGAAAATGTATTTGATTAAAGTTTAAAAATCTCTTTACATCCTGATATGTGTGTTTTCCATATGTCCCAATCTTACTACATTCACTGTTTGTCCTGAGATAACCATATCTATTCATTTAGAATGCATAGAGTGATGCTTTTTAATATAAATCAGCTGGTCGCATGCACACAGAAGCTCCATGTAAATACATATTATAAAAACTATCGATGCCTGTTGTTTGTCCTGCACAAAGTTAGAGTCGTTTCTCCTGCTCATAGCATCTAATAGTTAACAAACGCAAGAACAAAAAAAAGTTTTGAATATACACAATGTTCATTCAAGATATTGATCCCAACCTCTGCTCTCGCTTGGTCCATCCATATCAGATCATTAACAACGGCGAAGACTTTACTTATCATTGCGGTGCATCCAACACTTGCCATATTGGAAATGCGCTTTACTTCATCGTTTATCCCCATCAGCTAAGTCTACATTACTTCACCGGATGCGACAATGGTAGTCATATGGTACTATACGTGAAGAACGAGGAAGAATTGAGTTACATACCTACGTGCAACATGAATCCCAACCACGAAGACTTTTATATCTACGATTATAATGGCTGTTTCAGTTACGTCCCAAGCCAATTTTTCTACTTTGTTTACCACTTTTCAAGGTATGACTTTTACAACAACAACAACAACAACAGCAGCAGCAACAACAACAGCAACAGTAACGGCTACGATAACGACGATGGCAACAGCAACAGTAGCGGCTACGATAACGACGATGGCAACAGCAACAGTAGCGGCTACGATAATGACGATGGCAACAGCAACAGTAGCGGCTACGATAATGACAACGATGACAACAGCAATAGCAGCTACCAAAAAGAACAAGAATTATCTAGCCACGTTATCGACGACACAGGTTCAAGCATCGAGCTAATAGAAAATAAAGCCGGTTTATCTAATAATTCTGCCACCCACACACAGCACTCGAGCAAAAGTGACAAGGGCGAACTCTATATTATCGGTAGAGTAATCCGGGCAGTCTATAAGAATTGTACTGTTGATCTTGGGATAAATGATGTTCGTAACATAATTAAGAAGTTGCAAAAACGTAAGAAGAAGAATAATTTCGTCAATTCGTTTATATTATATCGCGCACTCTTATCCAAAAAGCTAGAATATAAGAGAAAAGAGTTCGCGAAGGGCGACTTTCAATGTTATATTAGCGAATTCGCAAGCAAGACCTGGAAGGGAAAAAGCAAGCCTACTGAAAAGGAGATAAAAAAGCTTGCGGCTGCAATCAACAGGTGTATAAAGCCAAAAACCTCGAATCCCCCACTTTAGATGGGTAATGGTGAATATTGTTTGTATATATAAACGTAAGCAAAAAAACGGCAACTAATTTTACATATAAAAGTAGGAAGTTTTTACTGGTTTAATAAAATTATATATATCTTACTTGTCTGTTATCCAGAGACTTATAAATGTCATGCACTACAAAGATTGATGTTGACAATCATTTGGTATCTGAATTTCTGATGGGTACTACACAGCGAAAAGAAAAATTGTGTTTAATAAAAACGAACACTATGTTTCGACCAAAAACGTGGGAGTAAATGGTTATAAAATCTCTGCTATGAGCCAAATTCTACCTGCTGGTTGTTCTCCTTAAAGGAAAACGTTTCATTAAAGTGGTTGCGAACTTTCAGCGTATAGTAAGTCACTAACGATTTGAACTATATCTCATCCGATTGCCTAGGAATCGGAATAATAACTTAGTGACTTGAGATTTATTCATGAGTTGATATGTCTCCTGTACGTACCATGGAATAAGTATCTACAAATGTAATGCCAACTGTGCATAATCGAATTTCTCACTACATAAAGATTATATATTTGATATGTTCAAAATTACAATTGCGAGATACTTTTTTTCTCATCATCATATTATTCAAATTCGATACAGATAATGGTTGATTGCAGCAAGGAAAGCATGCCCTTTTATTTGTATATCATATAATGATCATATATAGGAGAACATACGATGGTTATATATAGGAGAACATACGATGGTCATATATAGGAGAACATACGGTGTTCACCATGTGGTTACTTTCTTGGTTCACAGAATCGGTGGAAATTTCGAATTAGGAGTTTATTCGCCGAAACGCTGATCTTATAGGGCAAAACATACTGCGGGGGCAAGCACAACAAAATAAATCGAAGTGTTTTTCAGAACACTTTTACAAACGCATTTAATTTTTAATTGTTATCATTTTCTATAGTAACAGATAACCTTCCTTAATAACGTTTATTTGAACACGCAATAACTCCATTATGTTATAAAGAATGCTTATATTTACCAATTAAATTGTTACTGTTCACAATCGCAATCATAAACCAACAATATTATGTTTTGTAACCAGTTTTTCTTAGTGTTAGTATAGTGATTTGTTTAGAAAGGAAAATCGTAACTACGTTAGTTTAATTTTATGAATTAACTACGCAATGAAAGTTGCGTGGTTGAGCTAATAATCTGCAGTATACGAAAACTTGAACCAGGCAAAAAGTTCTGAAACAATCGATGTCCGTTATGATGCCATTTTAAGTAGCAGGGATTTGCTTATGGTGAGAGAAATAGATATAGAACAAACGTTCGAATGAACGTACTATCCGTACGAATCGTAATAAAGAGCAAGCGAAACACAACTGAACTGTGTCTTTATTGTTTACGTCTGTAACATTCTGACTAGTTTTGGTGAGTGTCGTATCCCTCGCCCAAGTTAAATATTTTCCTCACGCTTCGCTGAGTATAAAAAATTTAACTCTCTTAAAGCTTAACGCAGACAACGTTAGTAAACAAGTAAATAGGCATTTACTTGTTTAAGTTGTGGCATGCCAAACTACCTATAAAAACGAGCTTTCGATAATCCAGTAGAAGGGCAAAGGACAAGTTGGAGTCGGAAGAAACAGAGAAAGATATTACATCCACTATAAAGTGAGAGGCACCAACCTAAACTGTTGTTCTTCCTAAGGATCCCATGACCTGTATTCAAGGGGAAGCCACTGCACTGTAGTGATAATTGTATAATGCATTAAAGTCTGATATGAATTGCCCCTGGTGTGTTACGTGAATAATAAACATTGGGTATGCATTGCAATGCGCTTAAGTCACGTAACATGGATCGTCAATACAAATTTTGAAACGCATTAAAAAATCCTGATCTTGCATTTATCGTACGATAATCAATTCACATTACCGCATTTACCAAATCAAATTACATGAAATCGGGTTTTGCCGAAGACACATTGACTTATCCATTAAAATGCATTATAATAGTAGGCATATCATAATCGAATTAGGTAATAATAATAATGCTCAGCAACGTTTCATACAAAATTAATGGTAGCACATATGTAGATATTCAAATGACCGAAATAAGGTTATTGAAAATAGAAGTGTAAAATATATAAGTGAGACAAATGCAAAGTAGAAGACCAATTAATATACATATACAACTAAACTAAAACTAAAAATATAGTAACAACAACTAAAGTATACACATGGTAGTTCAAACTTTTGATTTCTGTCTCCGCTCTTGCATGGTCAATGAAAGATGTATCATCAACAACGGGAAAGATTTTATTTATTATTGCGGCACATCCAACTCTTGTCGTATTGGAAATGCTCTCTACTTTATCGTTTATTCCTTTGAGCAAAGTCTGCATTATTTCTCTGAATGCAACAATGGTAGCCATACGGTACAATGCGTGAAAAATGTTGAAGACTTGAGTTCCATAACGAACTGCAACATGCATCCCAACCACAAAGATTTTTATATCTACAGTAATAACGATGGCATGTTCTACTTTGTTTACCACTTTTCAAAGCATACCATTTATTGCAACAGCAACAGTAACAACAACAACGACAGCAATGGCAGTGATAGTGATAATGACAGCACAATAAACAACTACGGTGACGATGACGACAACGACGACAACAACAACAACAATAACAGCAACAATGTCTACGATATAATTAGCAGAATCAGTAACCTCAACATTGACAACATTGACAGCGTAAGCAGCAAAATCAACACTCTTCACCATCAACAACAGCATTATCAACGGCGCCTATATCAGCAATGATACCAGCAAGTACCCGATTGTGTCGCTAGGACTTCCGTGTACTTAACAACTTCAATCTTTATGGTTCGATGGTAAACCAGCATAACTGTTTCATTCAACGATACTGGTCAACCCGCCCATCACACACAATTTTCGTAAAAATAACAAGGCTAGACTTGATATCATTAATCACAATTTTTGTGCAATCGGGGATTTTTCTGTTCGTTTTAAATTACCATCGTCAGAAAGAAATTTCTTATTAAAAAACGGCGAAGACGGGATAGCGTATCAATTTACCGCATATACGAAGGTTAAAGCTTGTTTTTTTCCCTTAACGAATACGACGCCTTTCTACTTCCGGCGCAACGGAGAAAAATAAATGTGTATATAAAAGAGCAGCAAATTTATTTTACTGTCGTAAAATTGGGAACGGTTGATTGTTTGTATATGCGCTTTAAAAAGAATAAAAAAAATTTTTTCTAGGACAATTCAGGGAATAGCACTCTACGAGGTTATAATTGACTACTCGGTAACTTCTATTATGCTGTCAGACCCAAAACACAAACGTGATAGCACTATATCTGACTTTGCTAAGTAGTTTGTGAACAAACTCGATAGAATAGCGGACATCCAACTTAGTTATGTCGAATAATTGCTTAGAGATCATAAATATAAATAATAACTAAAAAAATTTTTTTTGGCCAGGGAGTGGTTTGATACACATGAGACAAATTTTGATTGTAGACATTTATTTCATGAATAAGTTGCAGATACTAATTAAACGTGAACTGTACGCAGTAGTATCTACATATAAAGCCAGACAGTTGATAAATAATGGACGTTAATGTCTTTCCGTCGTAGACTTTATTCGACACTGATTGACTGTAGCAAGAGCATGTTATTATTAGTATGAATTAATTCACAGACTTTGTCGAAATATTTAATTAGGAGTTTTTTTTCCAAAACGCTGCTTTTATAGGTAGAACATACTGTGATGCAAGCAAACAAAATAAATCAAGGTGGTTTCCAGAAACACTTTTACAAACGCGTTTAATTTTAACTGTTTTTATTCTTGGTTTTTTGAAAGTGTTTTCAAAGTAATTGTAAACGCAGCCTTCTATGGTAACAGACAAGTTTCCTTAGTATTATCTATTTTGAACATGTAATGACTCCATTATGTTATAAATAGTGCTTATATTTACCAACTAAATTGTTTCTGTTCACAATCTCGATCATAAAACTAGCATTCAACAATATTACATTTTGCAATCCATCTTCCTAATGACACTGCTCAGAGAAGGAAAATCGTCAATGTAAGGCCAACGGATGGCCGTTAGTTTAATTGTATGAATTAATTACGCAATAAAGTTGCTAGTTTGATGTGGATGAGTTAATAATCTGCAGTATACGAATGGTTGAACCGGACAACGTTCTGAAACAATCGATGTCCGTTATGATACCATTTTAAATAGCAGAGATTGCTTATGGGAGAAAGTGAAGAAAAAGTAGATATGGAACGAACGTTCTAATGATCGTACTATCCGTATGAATCGTAATAAAAAGCAATTAAACCACATTGTGTCTTTATTGGTGAGTGTCATATTCTCGCCCAAGTTAAATGTTTTCCTCACACTTCGCCGAGTAAAATTTAATCAGAACGTTCAACTCTTGATAACTTTAACGCAAACGGCGTTAGCATTAAAAGTAGATAAACATTTACCTGTTTAAGTTAGGTATGCTATAATTTATAAAACAACTCGAATTCACATAAAAGAAGAGCTGTCGATAAATTCGGATGGACCAACAAAGAACAAGTTAATTTCTGAAAACAGATCAGAAAGCGAAAAGCATTACGTTTACTATAAAAAAATGAGAGGCATCAGCTTAGACCCCAAGGATTCATGACTCGCACGTTCTCGTGGAATTATAATGCATTAAAGATAAATTGCCCCTGGCGTGTTACCTGAATAAGACATTGGGTGCAATGTATTGTAAATGCGGTCAAGTGCACGCAATGTATCGAAATGCATTAAAAATGTCCATTTACCATTCTGATCTTGCACTTGTCGTTTTCGATAATCAATTCACGCCCCGTACTGCATTTACTGGATCAAATTACGTTGGATCGGATTTCCCCGAAAACGCGTACGATAACAATCACTATCCATTAAAATATCGTAGTCGAATTAGGTAAACAAGAGTGATATCCTTCAGTAGTTTTAATACATTAAATGGTAAACACATATACAGAAGCTCGAATAACCGAGACGACGTTATCGTAAATAGGATGCATTGTACAAATATATAAAGTGGACAAACGCAAGCAGAAAACAAATTCAGGAAGAAAAACAACAACAAAAAAGCAAATAGATACACAATGTTGTTTCCCGATTTTGATCCCAATTTTCCATCTTACTTAGTTCACGAAAGTTATATCATTAACAACGGCAAAGACTTCGAATACTATTGCAAATGCTATGATAACGTGTCCAACCTTTGTCACATTGGAAATGCTCTTTATGTTATCGTTTATGACTCTAATCATAGCCTACATTACATTTCCGGGTGTGACAATGGCATTCATGTTGTGCAATACGTGAAAAACATGAGGGAATTAATGACTATAACCGAGAGGTACAATATCCATCCCAACTTCGAAGGCTTCTGTATTTATTGTGATAACAATGGCACTTTCAGTTACATGCACAGCCAGTTTCTCTACTGTGTTTATCCTTATTCGTTGTATAGCGTTCACTGCAACAACAGCGGAGGCAATGATAATTACAATAATAATGTCAATGTCAACATGGAAAGCAACTACGGTTATAGCAGCTGCAATGACGCCGACGGCGACGACAGCATAATCAGCGGAATCAACAATCTCAACATCAACGACAGCATTTGCGGAATCAATGACTACGACGACAACGACGACAGCATAACTAGCGGAATTAACAACCTCAACACCAACGACGGCATAACCACGACAATCAACTACCTCAATGACTACGACGACCACGTCGACGATAATCCGCGTCAACAACAGCGCCTTTATCAGCAGCACTATTAGCGTTGACAGTGTCTCTGAATTTCCTTCTTCAAATCAGTAAAATAGTGATAGTGACTTGACCAATCATGTACGCGATTTTCGCTAGTAAGGCAACCATCATCAATCGGCAAGAAAACTAGCAAGCGTGTCAATCTACCGTATACACCAAGGTTATGGAAAAGTTGTTTTTTTTTTTTGCCTAAGTCATATGGATCATTTTAGTTTATACTTCCAGCGCAATAGAAGATTAATAGTCTTGTAAAAGGATAGAAGATGAGTGATTGGTTCTATTTGACATAAAATCTCAAAGCTTATTTGTTGTAAACGGTCGAGTGTTTGTACATACTAATACGCTTTAAATAAAAAAATCAAACTGGCGGCCAATCGCTTACGTATAGAAATAAATTTTTTATATCTAACTGCTCGGTAACGAGTCAATTCTCTAGTATTACCGGCTATGTTGTCAATGATCGACCCAAAGGCAAAACGTAAATAGTACTATGTTTAAGCATACCATCTCGACTTTGCTAATTATATTGCGCATAAGCTCTGTGAATAGCGGATTTAACTTACTGGCCAGTGGTTTTGATTTACGTGAGCAAACTTTATATTAGTATTACCTCTCTCTATAGCTACACCATTTGTGCAGAGAGGAGAGTCCGTGATCACATGATAAAAATTTACATAATAATAATCAAATTAAACCAATCAAATTACGGCCCCACCACACACGGCTGCTAGAAAATTCTCTTCTTATTGACAGTATGGGTATGGAGTTAACTTCACAATATGAAGAAAATTAGCGGGCAAAAAAAGAAAGCGACGAATTGAAGCAAATCGAAGGGTCTCTTGGAAACTTTATTTTTACCTGAATATCCAACTTCCGTTGTAACGTATCCAATTGGCTATGGTTTTTACATCTTCTCTTGCATAAGCGTAGCGTACAGTCCACTATCTAACATCACTGGCTTATGTTGCATTATCTGTGCGAGCTGTCGGTCATTATACAGAGATTTGTAAATGACCCGCACTACAAAATTAATGTTAAATCATTTGACAGTCACTTGTATTGATTTCTGATTATGTCTTTTGCAAAGTCTAATTACGAAGATCAAGTGTTTGCGGATATACAACATAAGGAAGTCGTGATTAACATGTTTACATTGTGCATACCTCAATATCAACATCCTATTGCCGAGACAAAACTTATTGACTCGAGGTTTTGAGATAAGATATGTGGGTAAAATTCATGCATTGACTTCCTATGGAAATAAGTACAGTCATACTTCATTGTATATATGTTTGCCATAGCTAAACGTGCATTAGATCATATGATTAACATGTCATTAGGTGTCGCCCCAAAATTCTATGATTCCGATTTCCCATGTTATAAATCTGACGGTTGATTTAATAAACCTTGCAACGATACTTTCTCCCGATTTATGTGATCTGATTTGTGGCCTTAAAGTGGCAATTGGTAGTGTGGAATGCGGTAAATACAGAAATTTTGTGTGAATACAAAGTGGGATATTAATCACACAGTTATTACCATTATTTATCATTGATAATTTTATAAAACCTCTGCACGCTAAGACGGGTTAGTTCTGTAAAATACCAGACGAAGAAAAAGTAAACATTATTAAGAGAAAGGAAAACTAACTGGCAAACGAGTTCGATGTAGGCCGTTTGACTACAAATATCATTCTTCAAAAGAAAAGAAGATAAAAGCCAAAACGCCAAACTTTATAACAGAATTATTAACCAATAAAATTGCTTTAAATAACGTTGCACACACACATATATATAACCCAATAAACGAGGTAGGACTGTATCTATAGAATTTCTCTCTACATAAATTATTGTTACACATTTAATCAGTTTATAGGGGGCGTGCATGCCTTTCTATTTGTATCATGGTCATAAAGAGAAAAAACATATATTGTGGTCACTTTTTTGGTTCACTCTTAGGAGTCTTCCCCCGAAACGCTGGGCTATTGGGCAGAACTCGCTGCGGCGCAAGCACAATAAAAATGATGTGAAGAACGAAAAAAAGGTTTGAATATACACAATGTTCATTCATTATGATCCCAACCTCTGCTCTTACTTGGTCCATCCACATCAGATCATTAACAACGGTGAAGACTTTATTTATTATTGCGGTACACCCAACACTTGTCATATTGGGAATGCGCTTTACTTCATCGTTTATTCCCATCAGCAAAGTCTACATTACTTCACCGGATGCGACAATGGTAGTCATATGGTACTATACGTGAAGAACGAGGAAGAATTGAGTTACATACCTACGTGCAACATGAATCCCAACCACGAAGACTTTTATATCTACGATTATAATGGCTGTTTCAGTTACGTCCCAAGCCAATTTTTCTACTTTGTTTACCACTTTTCAAGGTATGACTTTTACAACAACAACAACAACAACAACAACAACAACAACAACAACAACAGCAGCAGCAACAACAACAGCAACAGTAGCGGCTACGATAACGACGATGACAACAGCAATAGCAGCTACCAAGGATTACCTAGCCGCGCTATCGATGACACTGGTTCAAGCATCGAACCAATAGAAAATAATGAAACTAATACAACTGTTTTATCTAATAATCCTGCCACTCACACACAGCACTCGAGCAAAAATGGCAAGGGCGAGCTCTATATTATCGATGGCGTAATTCGGGCAGTCTATAAGAATTGTACAGTTGATCTTGAGATAAATGATGTTCGTAACATAATTAAGAAGTTGCAAAAACGTAAGAAGAATAATTCCGTCAATTCGTTTATATTATACCGGGTACTCTTATCCAAAAAGCTAGAATATAAGAGAAAAGAGTTCGCGAAGGGCGACTTTCAATCTTATATTAGCGAATTCGCAGGCAAGACCTGGAAGGGGAAAACCGCGTCTGCTGAAAAGGCGGTAAAAGATCTTGCGGTTGTAGTCAACGAGCATATAAAGTCGAAAAATTTGAACCCCACTTTAGGGGTGTAAATGGGGAATATTGTCTGTATATATCTGCGTAAAAAAAAGGTAAACAAAAACAGCAACATGTAAAAAGTAAAGGGTAATAAAATTATTTATACAGTCAAACTCCGATATAGTCAAGTTGACGAGATAGGGACTTTTCTTTACTATATCGAAAATTTTCAATATAGTAAAGTTCATATATAAGTAGCATAAATCTTCACTATATCGCGACTGGCCAGTATAATAATAAATGACTCAAACGTTATTTCTACTGACGATTCAAC